TTATAGTTTCTCCTTTTATCCTTGATCAATTCATCCCTTCCATCTTCTTCTATTCTCTTAATCCATTCTAGTTTACAGTTTCTCCTTTTATCCTTGATCAATTCATCCCTTCCATCTTCATCTATTCTCTTAATCCATTCTAGTTTATAGTTTCTCCTTTTATCCTTGATCAATTCATCCCTTCCATCTTCTTCTATTCTCTTAATCCATTCTAGTTTACAGTTTCTCCTTTTATCCTTGATCAATTCATCCCTTCCATCTTCTTCCATTCTCTTAATCCATTCTAGTTTACAGTTTCTCCTTTTATCCTTCATCAATTCATCCCTTCCATCTTCTTCCATTCTCATAATCTATTCTAGTTTACAGTTTCTCCTTTTATAACAGTTATATCATTCTATAGATTGTCATGTCAATGAATACTCAGGCAAAAGATTATTCACAAAGGATGAGACTTAAATGACGAGCATAAACTTTTCATAAATGACAATTAGGAATTACAAAAAAGTCTCTAAATGGTTAATTTAATGATTTTTATAAAATATATTAATGAGACGTGTATAAGGAAGTAAGAAATATAAATGACGAAATTCCGTACTGTCCTACGGCATCTCTGGCGTCTCATTCTTCTGTTTCTAAAGATGTCGAACCAACCATCTTAGACTATTTGTCATTTGTAATTGTTCCTCCACATTAATCAAATGTTTTTTTTGCTCCCGGAGAATGAACGAAATGAATTCTAGATTCTGATTCGAATTGATTCATACAAAGAAAAAACAATCTTTTATCAATTATGATCAACCCCGGATATGGCCGTATAGTTAAACAGACCTATAACTGTAGCCTGAAAATTACCAAAATCACAACCATGCATTGAATCACTATTGTTTATCTCCTACATTTCACATGACGCATAAATACGCAATTATTATTTATGTTGCTAACTATTATTTAACCTTCTAGCGTCTATATAAGCATGATAATCATGGTTCTAATTCCAAATGTCAAACCAGAAGTGAATTGTCAGCAAGAAGACAGAAGGGAATGAGAAGTGGTACAAGGAAAAGGAAAGTCAGGTTTCTCTCTGGATGGAATAAAAAAAATACAACTAATTCTTTATCTTTTAATATACAAATACAATGCACATGACTTGCATTTTTTTTTAAATGATGATGGCTGGGGGCATATTTTAATCAACACCCCCCCCCCCATTCCTCGGTATATAAAGCCTGTGTGCAATATGCTTGGAGAGGGGGGCCGGGGAGGGGGGCATGTAATTGTCATACTCACTTCTCAGTGATAGAGAGATTGAGGGATGGAATTGTTGCTTGAATGATTTTGTTTTGAAGATGTTTAGAAACTTGAAAATAACAAATTGTTGATGTATTGTACGTGTAAGCAATGTATTGTATGGTATATAACCTGTATTGTATATGCACTGTATCTAGAGGTATGCTGGTTAATACTTCACGTCAAAACTACACTTAGCTAATCCAGGATCAGAGAAATAATCAGACTTGAGGATAGTTGGATAGATAGATAGATAGATAGATAGATAGATAGATAGATAGATAGATAGATAGATAGATAGATAGATAGATAGATAGATAGATAGATAGAAATGTGAAATGAATGAATTAATAATCTGTTAGATGAATATGTAAGAAATAAATGAAAAGATAAATAGTCAGATTTATTATATGAATGGTGTAGTAAACACTTACTCCATGACAAGTTTTCAAAGTTTTCAAATGTCCAACCCGTCCGCTTTCAAAGTCAACCAGGATACAATCCACACCACGTGGATTTAACAGTTCTCTCAATATTCCAGAAAGCTGTGACTTTCAATAACAATTTGACCAATAAAATATAATTTTTTAGCCTTTTTTCTTTTATACTTTTTTGCCGGCATGTATGTTTTGAATGAAAATTATGAAACAAAAAAATCCATAAGCTTAAAGATTGTTGAATTATAGACCAAAGGGCATTTGATTTCAATTATAAGAAACCAAATGCCTCTCACTCTGGTTAGTCCAGGGTTGCTTGGTTAGAATCCTACTAACTATCAACGCCACCATCACTGGGCTTGATCTGTGTAGCTATCAAACCAAGATATTAATCCAGGCTCTAAATGCCACAAAGGGACACAAGCGTAGCTATCAAACAAGCTATTAATTCATTGCTTTAAATGCCACACTGATACAAGCCTAGCTATCCAACAAGCTATATATCGATCCCAAATTATGGGGACAATCTTACGCTCTAAATGCCACACAGGGACACAGCCTAGCTATCAAACAAGCTATATATCGATCCCAAATGAAGGGGTCAATCCACTCTAAATGCCACATAGGAACACAAGCCTAACTATCAAACAAGATATACATCTATCCAAAATGATTGGGACAATCCGCTCTAAATACCACACAGGGACACAAGCCTAGCTATCAAACAAGCTATATATCAATCTCATATGATAGGGACAATCCAACCTGTTGTTTTTAAAACAGGAATTCAGGATTACTCTCTCGCAGTAAATAGTACGGAGTTTCTATATAAACTAATTTTATTTAAATATCTTATTTTACAAGTAACATGAATTGACGTAATTACAATTCCTACGTCATGATCTATATCACATGATTAAGGCAATCATGCTACGCATTTACAGCACAGTTAAAGTTTAATGTACTTATTTATAAGATTAGAAAGAATAGATATTACATAGTTAAGCTATTTTTACACATGTTTACAGCGTAATATAAGTATATCACATGGTATAATCTAATCACATGGTATAATCTATTCATCTATTTATATATCTAAACATATCAATCTTTCTATCTATCTATCTTTCTGTCAATCTATCTATCTATCTATCTATCTATCTATCTATCTATCTATCTATGTACATACTGCCTGGAGGTGTGGTAGACATTGAACTTAAACATTTTATTGTTTAGACCAAGAATAGTTCACACTAGGATACCAATATGTTTTTTCAAATCTTAATTTATTAAAAAAATATTTTGATCAGACTTGACAATTGAACAAACAAATCTTGAAGGAATAGAAATATTATTTATGATTTTATGGCACGCATCTATGTATACTGTAAATAGCTGCTGGAAAGTCAAACTTTAACCCACTGTGATTCTAAATGGACGTTTTTTTCTATTGCATTGGAAGTGGGAGGAAACTAAAAAACAGTACATGTGAAAATTTTAAAACGAGAGAAGAAAAACAGACAACAGCCACAGAACATTGAACAATAAATACTTCACACAATGTGTTTATAGAACAAATTTCAAATAATTAAATATTATTTTGTAGTCAAAAAAAAAATTCCAAAAGACATATTAATCAAACCTTTACGGTCATTTAAACAAAACCAAACACATACAAACCAAACCAAATCCAAACATACCAAACCAAATAAAATCAAAACATACAAACCAAACCAAATCCAAACATACCAAACCAAATCAAATCAAACACATACAAACCAAACCAAATCAAACACATACCCAACGAAACCAAAACATCCCAAGCCAAACCAAATCAAAACATACCAAACCAAATCAAATCAAACACATACAAACCAAACCAAATCAAACGCATACCAAACCAAATCAAAACATACCAAACCAAATCAAAACATACCAAACCAAACCAAATCAAACACATACAAAACCAAACCAAAACATACCAAACCAAACTAAATGAAAACATATCAAACCAAACCAAATCAAATCAAACACAAACAAACCAAACTAAATCAAAGCATACCAAACCAAATCAAAACATACCAAACCAAATCAAAACATACCAAACCAAACCAAACCAAATCAAACACATACAAAACCAAACCAAAACTTACCAAACCAAACTAAATCAAAACATACCAAACCAAACTAAATCAAAACATGCCAAACCAAATCAAATCAAACACATACAAACCAAACCAAATCAAACATTACCAAAATAAATCAAAATATACCAAACCAAATCAAACCAAACCAAACTAAGTCCAAAAACAGGATTTAACAGTTCGGTCCTCATCCCAAGCTTTGACTTTCGACCACAATTTGACCTATTGATCATAACTTATTTCCTTTCTTCTTTAAGACTTTTTTCTAGGCATATGAATTTTTAATGAAAAGTTCAAAAAGATTCCTTAATTAGTTTAAAATTGGGTGAATTAAAGACCAAAACGCGATTGGATTCAATTATAAGAAACCAAAAAGCATCTCGCCCTATAGTTATGCATGAGAGAAACCCAAACCAAACCTCGATACATAGCTGTGCGTCTCTGTACATGGCTTAAAATCAGAGCAGGTGTTACTTGATATTTTTTCTATATAATAAAACAAGACATTCTTATATAAAAATAAGACGTTCGTATATATGTTCCCTTTAGCCGGCCAAACGGCAGGACCGAATGGGCTGACATTTTTGAGGGAACCCATGGGTTTAACAAAGGCTAGAAATTCTGTGATTTTCAAAAATTGATTTTTTTAAAAATTTATTCCACGGACAACGCCGGGCCCTTCAGCTATTATTTATTAAAACCCATATATGCCCTTTTTTATTTTCCTCAATATATGAACATCTTCAGAATAAACATATTTTACATTGAATCAAAAAGGAAAAAAAGAGCAGGAAGGAGAAAGCAAAGAGAATTCTGAAAGAAGAGTACCTTTAAGAAAGTAAAACAGGGAAAAAAGAAAAAAGAGAGGAGGGCAACAGGAGAAAGTTAATAGCAAGAGAAAATAAAAATAACGAAAAAGTTTAACAGCAGAAAGGAGAAAATTAAAAGAAAGAAAAAGTTTGAAATGAGAAAGGACAAAATAAAAATAACGAGAAAGTAAGAAAGAAGGAAAAATTTATAGAAAGAAGAAATTATAAAGGTAGAAAAAAAAGTTAAAGAAAGAAGAAAATATAAAGATAGAAAAAAAGAAAAAAAATTATAGAAAGAAGAAAATATAAAGGTAGAAAAAAAAAATAAAGAAAGAAGAAAATATAAAGGTAGAAAAAAAGAAAAAAATTACAGAAAAAAGAAAATTTAAAGATGGAAAAAAGAAAAAAATATAAAGAAAGAGGAAAGAGAAAGTAAGAATGGAGAAAGGAGAAAATACAAAGAAAGAGAAAGTGAAGTATTAAGAGAAACGTCGCGTTGTGTTAATTAACATTTACAAATCATTTGTCATATCTCAGTGAATTCTGAATTATACATGCCATGCATGTTTCTACAGTCACACTACACACGTACTTAAACATAAGTACATATTATTATGCATACATGTACAATTACATAGTACAAAATTATAATGTATTTATTACAACTAGAGTAATATACATGTTACGTACGCTTTTAAACATAAATAAATACCTCCTTACATACCATTAATGAACATATATTAAAAAATATATTTCTGATTAGAAAGAGTATGGTTTACATTCTTTCAAAAAACTGCAATACACATAATAATGTGGCAATTCCATTCCATAAGTGAACATCTAAACTGTTAAATTTAATTGAACGCTTTCATCAAATTCTAGTTTTCTAATCTTTGCAATCTGATGGTGTAAACCCTTAATTATTCGATCTAGAAGAATTCGTAATTTTTTCGTGGAATTCAACATTGTTTCCATGTGTATTTTACTTGTATGATTGTTGGTTTGAGAGTTTATATTTCTGTGTGTATGTGTGTGGGCCCTATATTTGAAAAGTATAAATGAACCAAGAAAAGATTATCCTTTAAACCCGCCTCGATCCTGTACTAGTTCAGGGCTGTCTGGAGGAAGATGAGGAGGAGGATGAGGAGGAGATTGAGGAGGAGGAGGAGGAGGAGGAGGAGGAGGAGGAGGCAGAGGAGAGGCTTAAGAGAGGGGGAGGGCCAGTTTTTCATACATTTCCAAAATAATCCCCCCCCCCTTCCTAAAAAAATCGAAAACCGCCCCTAATCCAGGGGGTTTAAACAGCCCTCCTTTTAAAAATCTAGCAATGTCTATTTTTGTTTCTCGACCTTTTTATACGGCTCAATTCTTGTACGAAGGTTAAAAGGTTTAAACAGTTTTATTTTAAATCCATATTTATGTTGTTACTGGAGCACCAGGACTTATTTATACAATTTAGATTTTATGGGTTCAGACTATTTCAAGGTTATTTAGAATTGTAATCCTCTCTTAACCCCCCCCCCCCCCCATATATATCTTTTGGTATTATAAACCAGAAAAAATTCCTTTTCACGAATGATTCACGTTACACTAAAGTAAATTGCACGTTATATTAATCCTCTATTATATTTCAATCATAACTCATCAACTCCTCTTAGTAAAGAACTGTTGAGAAGAACAAAGATGTTTTGAATTTATAATATTTAACCAAATAAATTTTTTCATCCATACTTGTGCGTAAAATACACTCAAGAGAAGCTAAAAAGACACAAAGTTGTACCCGTAATGTACAGGGTGTCCCACGAACCATGACAGATGGTAAATAGTTTTGAATGTCTTCAATTAGATGTCAAAGAAATATATTTTAATTTGAAATAAATTTTGATATAATATGACTGCCATATAATATTTTTCATGTTCTGTTTGGTTTCAAACCACTTTACAAATTATGGAAGAAGACATTTTAAACTATTCACCCACTGTCATGTTTCGTGGGACACCTTGTAGCATATATTTGACCTTCTTCTATAATTTTGGAAACAACTTCTACTTCCTGTTTATTCTTTGCATTATGCATTGTGTGATTTTAAGATTTTATAGCTCATCCTTAACTATTAATATCCTTTTTAATTTCATTTTTTTAAGTAATTTTTTTCGAAAAACGTCCGAACTGCCTAATTAGCTGACTATCATTTTATTTGCAACTTGTTCTGGATTTGAAAGAATAAACAATTGCTTAATCTTGTTATTTGTGATTTGCACAGTTTCCTTTCTTTTATCACAGTTTCCTTTCTTTTATCACAGTTTCTCTTAATTTCTTTACTTCTTATGTTGTATTTTCCGATTTGGACATAACGAAATAACCATGGCTCTATTTCGACCCCCCAGCTTCTATTTAACCCCCTAGAATAAAATAAAAGCAAAACCAATTGGTTGTTTTTAAAGGGAATGTAGATGTAAATTCAAACGAACTTCCATTTACAGAGTGGCCAGGTTGATTAACATCGATACCCCGAAACATCTATCTAAGCAACATATAAAGATAAAGAAGTTAAACTATCTTGAAAAGTATTGAATGTCCGTCAGTACAGATCGTTACCGTTGTGAATCATATCATGTCAATCTACAATTGGGAGGGTCCCTCAAATTATTGCTTGTAAACTTACAAATTTACAATCTTGCATGAATTTTTCTTTTGTTATTGTTATGTGATATGATTCTAATTTCGAGCTTATTTTTTATGTTTTCTTAGTTTGAAATTAATTTCAAGCAATTATTATGAAAATTTATTCAGATCAAATTGAATATGATTGATAGTGCTATGAAATATACTCTTAATTACTTCCCATGTGTTATAACCATCAAACCATATATAGATAATAATTTTAGTATATATTGTATAAATAAATATGTATATTTGCTTATCACCCCCCTCCCCCCTCCCCTCTTTTATGTCAGTCCATCTAGGCCCGGACTGGTGGCTGTGGTATTAGGCCCCCTCTCTCTCTCACGTGAACACTCTCACACAAATTTCACTTTACTTAGAACTCCGAGTTCAGTTGAGTGTTTGTATTCTCAGCAACCACTGCCCAAACCTACCCCCAGACCACGGTCGGAGTTTTCATTTTCCGCCGCTTTTAATAGATGGCGACACATGTTGTGTTAGCACTAATGACTAAAATGATACGAAATTAATATGAAAACTTAACGTAAATCAAAGAATCATGTATGTTTTGTAATAAATAATCTATTGGTAAATTATTAATTTCAATTATGGATATTATTTTAGAGTTGTTTATGTTCTCCGTCTGTAATCTTGGTTGCAAGCATGAACTTGACTATGAGTGAACTGTGCTACATGAAGTTAGATTGGTAAACAGAGTGAAAATATATATTTATAGCATTGTCGGCCAGAAAATGAAATAATCAAGAGACTATTTTAAGCAGGTAAAATCATAACTGACAATTATGCTAATTATTTTACTTTAAAAAAGTATAAATTACATATGTTAGATCGTTTCATTCGAGCTCCAATTAGTTAATAATTTCCTATCTTTATGTCGCTTGTTAGGTATTTATAAAATACAAAAACATATATTTTTAAGAATTTACATCGATTAAATTTTTGATGTTAATGCGCGCAAATCATGCATTTATTCAACTCATGGCGAAGGTTGATTCATGTTCATTGGACTACTAAATACCATAGATAAAGATAGATTGCGCATAAGACGACATTTTTCATCTTGAAAGATATAAATGTACAGAGATGTTTTAAATATATTCCTATTATATAGATTAACTAGGTCGGTTGTGAACATTGGCTGTTCTTATGTCATTGAGTACTTGTGGTGTACATGAGTTCTGTATAGAGAAATTTAAGTTAGTTTAGTCCTTCTCATGTCCTTCTTCAGTTCTCGTCAATATGATATATTGCTCAGTGAAATATTGTTGTTCAAATAGTTCCATTCCCGGAGTTATTTTACACTCTATTCTGAAATCCATTAAAACACCAAACCACCCCGCTTATCATTGAAGTACACTTTGACCCCGGGAAGTATGAGTTCGCGGACTGTACAATTCTTGATGATTTTGCGTACATAAGCTATCTATGTTTATTTATTTATCTATGCTAAAAACCAATTAATTAATCGTCACCCTATTCCACAGTTTTATGGGTCTCTCTGTAAGAAATGGGATTTAAAACAAAATGTTGAAATAAACTAAAGCAAGATAAAACACTGAAAACCAAGATGTGCACGCAAAAATCAGAATTTCACCCTTAACAGCTTAAGCTAGAAACAAGCTTGTTCCATTATAAAAATGCACATATCTAGGGCTACAAAAAAGTATAGAAGGGTTTGTGAGGTAAAGCCAAACGCCAAAGCGTTGCGCACTTTAGAATCGAGGCTGTCTTAAAATTTGATGATAAATTTTCAGATTTGTCTTGATCTCAACACTATATATTTAGTTTCAACTGAAGTAAATTTTCCATTTACTGATAGTGCCGATTAAAGGATTCATATCTCTGATTGGATATTGTGATTGATAAAAAGATAGATGTAACCGCCATTCTATTTCTATTGGTTCAGAATAAAAAACAAACACATGACTTAACCCTGATCGGATCAGGCGCTAATGGACTCAGCATACAGGAGTGTCAGTGAAAACGTGTTTACTAGAACTGAAACTGCCCTTTTAAGGCCACAGCACATTATTTTATATTTTACTTATAAATAAGAATGATAAGAAAATAAGAAAAATACTTACTTATAAATTACTCATAAATAAGAAAAATGCACACGTTAAACTAAAGTACACGTGTTTATCAAACTGAAACCGTTTTCATATAACAATATATATTCAATGCTAAGATAAAAAATTCTGTATTTAATATCTCTACATAGATATACATTATCTCTTCATAAATATACATTATCTCTACATAAATATACATTATCTCTACATAAATATACATTATCTCTACACATAAATATACATTATCTCTACATAAAAAGACATTAATCATATACATATCGTATATTTTACAACACGAATAATTTTGAAAATATGTATCGTTTCGGGTCGTCTACTCGTTATTAGTTCCACAAAAAAATACCATGACAAAGGATGTCAAAATCGGTGCGAATTAAAAAGATGGATTCAAATGCCCGTTTGCTTAGAACCTATATCTTTTATTCAACCCATAAAGCCTATTTATTTTAATATTTTTTAACATTACAAATAAATCATTTTTATTTCTAAAAGTTGATTGTTCATCGTCGAAAAATACTAACAATCCACCACCGGTTTACATTAAATAAAATGTAAATAATAAATATATTCCTACAACCTTTATTTTTGGAGGTTTTAAAATATTTTCTCCTGAAACACTTAATTGTATGTTTTGTTATATTTCATAAATAAATAATTACTTACTTACAACTTGATAGCCAAAAAATTGATAAAAATCAAAATACGCACAAAAAAATTGCTCTATGTGAAGAAATAAAAATTATAGACATAAAATATTGAAAAGGAACTGATTACAATGACTGCAAAATATAGTTTTCTATATCTTTGCAACCTGACGAGGTAAATCAGGACATGGAAACTAGGGAATGATGCGAGTAATCATTTCTTTTGCAAACAATCACAAAAAAAGATGTTAGATGACAATTATTATATTATATAATATAATATATAAGGATTCAAACCGAACTTTTCACATTGTTCTGAATACATATATTTACCAGGTTGGAGTCGAGGATGAAAGAAATGACAATTAAGTACTTGAATTAAAATAACTTTCCCATATAATACCTTGTGGAGTTTTGAATACGTAGTTTTATCACGCTAAACTAAGCATCATCTGCTGAACACTGAACAAATAAAAAGTGGGTTTTAGCGGAGATTGTTCTTTTAGTTTTGCAACATGTGAACAAAATTAGATCAATTCTATCTATATTTTTTTCTATCTATCTATCCATCTATCTGTTTATCTATCTATCTATCTATCTATCTATCTATCTATCTATCTATCTATCTATCTATCTATCTATCTATCTATCTATCTATCTATCTATCTATCTATCTATTTATCTATCTATCTATCTATCTATCTATCTATCTATCTATCTATCTATCTATCTATCTATCCTTCTATTAGGCATGTATGAATTAGATGTTCATGTTTTTCTATTTTCAATTGTGAAACTGAATTGGGTATTTCTACTGCAGAAGCTAGGGAAAGGAAACTATCAGAATTAAACACATTCTTTAGAAATACGATTAAATCGTCCACAGAATTGATCAGATAAAGATATTAAGGGTACTATTGTAAATCCAACCTTAGTCCCTGTAAATTGATTTTATTTGGGTTGTCTCAAATCCAAAGTTTGATCAAAGATAATAAATATTATTTTTTTTCAGGAATGATTTCGACCTTCCGTGAAACAGGTTTGAATGTGTATCTCTTCTGAATGTCGTCCTTAACAGGTCATGTTTTGCAATTTTTGGTCTTCTAAAACTTTTTTCATGTCGTTGAAAATAGTTAACTATAACTTTGTATGTATTTCATCATTGGAGCATGGACCCAGAACCCCTGGACCAATTTAGCTTGGTTTTTAGTTCTAAGTTCGGCAAGTTGTTTTTTTTCGAGAACACTCCAGCCAAAGCTGGGTAATTTTTATTATAAAACTTTATTATGGTTTTTTAGCATAAAAACCCGGAAGTATATGAAAAGTTGCATTTGCACAGACTTTGAATTATTTAAATTCTTTAGAATCTGTTTTCATAAAAATAATCTCATTTCTCTAAAATTAATTAATTTTTAAATCCCACCAATTTTACGATACCAGCACAGTTATCGTTAAAGTCACCCATCGACAGAAATGACGCTATCCTTAGGCTATAGCTAGTTGCTTAACCCTATCCCCGCTGGGGTACTTGAAAACCAGGATACGCTGGGGGGGGGTCAATTTGACCCCCCCCCCTCTAAATCCCATGTTTTATGTCCAAATATGACAAATGATACATCATTAGAAAGCTCTTGTGCTCTACTTTTAGAATCTGCAAAAAAAATTGCAAATTTGCGAAAATTGAATTTTTTATCGCAAAATCCAGTTTTATAGTAAAAATGTTTGCAAAAAAAATTTGTCCAAAAAATGACAAATTATACATTTTTGAAAAGCCCTTGACCATGCCATTTCAAATATGCAAAAATTTTTGCAAAATTTTAAATAACCTGATTTTTAATCAAGAAAAACTAAAAATGTGCAAATTTCCTTTGACAGGTTGTTTGCAAAAAATTTGCAATTTTTTTTTCGCAAAACTTGTGCAATCCGTTTCCTTATGTCATAGGCTTTCCAAAAAGCTAAATTTTATCAAAATCTGACAAGTGAAAGTGGGTCAAAACAAAGATTTAGTTTGCTACAGGCAAAAGCAGTCATTCAGGCAGTGTGCCTGAGGACTCAGGCAGTTAGTATTAAAGCCCGGTTTTAGGCCTAAAGGGAGGGCTTTGGGTATGTAAGAAAAGTCAGAAAATTTCAACAGCCTCAGACCAATACTTTTTGAGTTATGTAAAAAAACTACAGGGGGGGGGGTCAAATTGACCCCCCCCCAGCGGGAATAGGGTTAACAAGACGCATTTATCAATTAAAAAAAAAAAAGATTTTTTAAAACCGCTTATTCCGGTAGAGTGACCTTGTAATTAGTTTAAAACAGTGTTTGAGGTAACGTATTTGTCAAGCGTGATACTTGTTAAAAATGTTAATTGTTCAAAATATAAATACCTTCAGAAATATTTGATGGTCTTTTGGCTGAAAAGTGTAAAAACAGGTACAACGGCCGAGTTCAATTTGCCACAAACTCTCATTGTCTAATCTCTATATCTTGGCAATTCCGGAAATTTTCTATCCGGAATTTTCGCGCCGACTTTGTTGTCATTATGGAAGTTATCACTCGGAAAATCTTTTTAAAATTCTCCAGAGCTGAAAACTTTTGAATTGTATAACCTTAATCCCGATTTCTAAATCTCTGTATTCACTGACGATATTTTTTATTTTTCTCTCTTTTGGATATCCTTGCTGGATTCTGACCAATAAAAGTTCTCTCATTGATTACGCGCCAAAATTTTGAAATTTCTTGGCTTCTGATTGGTTGTTCGGTTTCTACAATCAACACTCTGATTGGTTGCAGTTCAGACAATTTCCCGGATTTAACTTAAGATTAAATTAGTCTGAAGATTAATAAAAAGAGGAGATCAAGCATTTAGCTTAATATCCACAATTCTAAAGTTTTCAGCTCAGGTCGCTCTGTTAGCGTAATGCATTTCTTTTACTATTCAACTAGATTTAGGAAAAATTGGGCAAAGCTTCAATACTGAATTTATTTATATTAAATAGTTTTTATATGTACTCAGAAAATGCACGGAAATAAGATACGTCTGCTTAAAAATGGTAAAAAATATCAGACACATGTTTTTGGACGAATGCACATAAATATGCAAATGTCGGAAGTTTCATTGAAATTTCTTGTTGGTGTGACATTTTCAGAATTGGAACTAATTTACACCGTTTTTTTTCCGGCCCACCCTTTCTTATGCCATGACTTTGCTTTTTCCAAGGTCCACATTTACATTCGACGAATACATTATAATAACATTCATTTATACAGACTGTTGACTTCATATATTTTTCATTGTGTTTTTTAACAAACATATTCGTTAAAAGGGGGTTGTCCTTGTAATTTGAAATTAAGGATTTTTTTTACAAAAAAGGTGTGATGTAGAAATCACCCTTCCAAGTTGTAGAAATCCACGAAAAATCCGGCCCTAGGTTTTTAATCCTTAATGCAGGATATTTGATTCTCGGTTAAAGGTTTACAGTGCATGTTACCCATAAAACTGTGGAGTCTATTTATGTACTTTCATATGTTCATAATTTAAGATTTATTTCCTTACTATGATTAGATTGAAAGATAATACGGTTTATCTTTTTTTAAATTTAATTTTGTCAGTTTCCTGGCTCCTTATTCATGTTAAAAATAAGATAATAAAGATACGATGCATAAACTTGTTTAAAATTCAAGTTCAAACTGATCCGCGTCGGCGCGTATGATGTAATTATCTATATATTTATATATATATAGGTTCTTATATATATATATCTATTGTTNCGTATGATGTAATTATCTATATATTTATATATATAGGTTCTTATATATATATATCTATTGTTGTTTAAAGAATTTTAACATACTGAGGATCGTTATGATAGGCGTGAAACATTATGTTTAGGATAATTCTTTTTTAATAAAAATGTGAAGTTAAAAACTGAAACATATCTTTATATATATTTATATAGCTATATATATATAAGAACCTATTTTTAAAACAAAAAATACGTTATCAAAGGAATTGAGTTTTTGCCACAAACTTAAACTTTCGAATTCCAATATCTTAGCGGCCTAATGTTGTACACATTTAATATTTCAAACTTAGATAAGTTAAGCTAACAGAATTCGTAGTTTGAAATATCTAAAGTCTACGACATTTGGTTGGGACAATATAAGGACTAGAAAATCAGAGTTTGTTGCAAAGACTCAATTCCTTTCTGCAAAATCTCGGTCTTAACTTTAAATCTAAATTTTTAAAGAATGCATTCACAGAGGCGGGATTGGGTATTTGCTAGGAAGGGGGGGGGGGGGGAATAAGTGTGTTAAAGTGTTTAGGATAGATTTTTGAAATTTTAAATCTTGCTGAAAAAAAGTATTTTTACCATTTCCTAAAATTATTGCTCTGTAAATTTTCTTTCTTCTATCATTTAGGGGGGGGGGGAGCCAACTCCGCCAACACCTTTAAGAGAGTATATATGAAGCCCCCTCCCCCGTTTGAGATATGACAAACTAAAATAGTAAAACTGTAGCTTATTAAAAACAATCAAATCAAATAAATCCAACCTGAGCTGGGAACTTTTGAATGATTGATATCGGGATTAATGCTTGATCCAGTCTTTTTCTTAATCTCCAGATTAAATATAATGCTTGTTCTCCTCTTGTTATTAATCTCCAGATTAATTAACTGATCGGGATTAAGGATATCCAATTCAAAAGTTTTCAGCTGAGGTTCCATATTCAGGGATTGTAAGTCGAGATGCTAAGATTATGTTGGTCGCTGACGGTCATTCATCTTTTACTCTTACAACTCATTTATCCATCAAGAATTCATCAATCAGCCTCCAACCCAGCCTCACAACCTCGCTTCCATCCATCCTCACATCCAGCCTCAAATCCAGCCTCCTACAGATCCCAACCCAGCACTCAGGAATGAATTTAAACTTTTCTTTTCTTAAAGGACGGTTAGTGTAATTTCAAGTAACTCTTCTACGCAGATTCGGTTGAATCTTTATCCCGGAGAACTGTGACTTTTGAGAGTGACGGAAGTTCGTAGTAAGATTTTGACTCCACTGGAGACCACCGGAGGGAATTCTTTTTCACTGGAGGGTTTTGAAAAAATGGTTTTTACAATTCAAAACTTTACGCAGGGTGATTTACATTCCACTGGAGGGATTCAGACATCTTTCCAGGAAGGTTATAATTGCACTGGAGG